CCACCTTGCCACCCTTTCAAATTGTCAAGTTCAACCAGTGGAACCTTCCACTGAGCAGCAATTGGTATTGCCAGCTGTTTTAAAAAATCCATTGCAGTCATGATGGGCATCAGTGGTGAAGGATGCTATTTTAGATGGTGACTGGAAGGCTGTCAGCTCATTGGCTTGTCCTGTCATGGTGTCTAATGGGAATGCCATGTGGCAGCCCCATGAGTGGAAAATCCTACAATCGGCTAAGCAGACAGTCACCACTCATGGGATCAGGTCAGAAGCAGCCAGAAACATCATTCAATATATATTTACAGCAGATGTGCTTTGTCCTGCTGATTCATCTAATATTGCCTCTCTGCTGCTGACACCCTCCCAGTTTCTCATGTTTGAAAGGGAATGGAGACATTTGGCAATTGAAGAGGCCAACAAACATACAAATGTTGGGGATCCTTTTTATGGAGTCCAGCCAGATATGCTGACTGGGCATGGACCATATGCAACCAACCACGTGCAACTTACCTTCCCCATTGAAATACATCAATCGTCACAGCAGCTGGCCCTTCAAGCTTTGCTTTTGATACCAAACAAGAAAAAAATCAGCATCCTATGCGACCATAAAGCAAGGAGCCACTGAACCATTTGGGCAATTTATTGATAGGCTGGCAGCTGCTTTGAAAGATAATCGTGATGTGCCACCAGACATTCAGGAACATTTATTCCGCTCACTTGCTTTTGAGAATGCTAACTCACACACAAAAACCATCTTAGCTACCCTTCCTCAAGGCTGTCCAGTCGATGAAATGCTTGTCAGAGCCATACACGCTGAACAGAATGGCCAAACTGCAGCGTTCCTGTCGCAAACACAACACATCATTGCAGCTGCTTTATCAAGTAATGACACAAGGAGACAGAAAACCTAAGGGAAAGTATAGCAGTACCGAGTGTTTTCCAAGATACAAAGAAGGATGAACATTATGTGAATCAATGTTATTTCAAATACGATATAGATGAAAATCACTGTATAAAGATAGAAGTATTAGTAATTATTTAATTACCAAAAATGTCTCTGAAAACAAAGATTTGAGAAATGTCAGTCAGATGGAATGTTGGTATTGAATTTCTAATCTTTGTTTTTGGGTTTTTATAGATAATAATACAAATAATCATGATTTTTAAGTTTTATAGATAATAAGATAAATAGTGATTATTGTTAAGTTTTTGTAGGTAATTATAGGATAAGTAGTGATTGTTACTAATATTATATGAATGCTTTAAAAGGATTGTCTTAAACTATTTTAAACATTTCTTGTTGATAAGTTGATCATATAATGTGACTTGTCTGATTTTTGTCATAAGAATTATTATTAAGGTATTAAGGTATTAAGGTGTTGTTATAGTATTTACAGTCAGGTTTCATATGTTTTATTGTTTCTTTAGGTGATTGATTACCAGATGTGTTTTTTCAGGATCCTGTGTTTTTGATTTTTAACTACTAATGTGTTTTCTTTGTCCAATCTTTTATGCTGCTGCAATTCCTCTTCCTTTAAAATTCATTGTCCAGATTTTGGGTCAAGATTTCAGACTTCAAATTTTCAGATTTCTGAAGAAAGGCTTTGTTGTATTTAGACAATTTTGTCTTGAAAGACTTTTTGGACAGGTTCAATTATTTGATAGTTTGATACATTTTTAATAATAAGGTTTTTTACCTATAACTGTTATTTCTAAGACTTTTTGTTTTATAATGTGTTAAAACATATCCTCCAATTAGAGTTCGAGCTCTGGCAAAGCTCTGGCTCTACTTGGATGGTGTGATTGACCCAGGTGTTTTCTGCATCAAAAAGAATTCAAGTCCTTTTGGCTTGACAATTTGACAATATAGGACAGCTGAGCCTCAAAGGGAATTTTGGAAGAACATGATCCGGACATGTTTTATCCAAATCTCTGTTGTTTTAAGGCTTGTCAGCTGCTGCAGACTCTGAGATGACAATTTGATAGTGTAACACTTCGTAACTGTGATTTTATATGTAATATTAATTGTGTATTATTTGATTGATTTTTATTTGTTGCTAGTTTCTTTACTATGTGCATTGTTATGTTCTTGATGTTTTCTTATGTTTATAACAAAGATGTTGATATCTCCATTTCTTCATGCAATTTTAGAGAACAGAATTGAGAGAGGACCCTCCAGTCCCTGTGGGGATGTTGGGTTTGTTTGTGTTTTAACAGGTACAGAGTCTAGATGGATTTCAATGAAGAATGTGGAACTTTACGAACTGCAGGAAAGCACTGATCTCTCCACAAGCAAGAGCAGAAGATGCACAGAAAATGTAGATTGTGCAAAGATTTGTGTTTCACCCACAGAAGATCGTGGACTTTGGTTTTTGGTTTTTTTTTTCCATAAATGTGTTTTTAATGGTGTTATAGAATTTAATTACTAGGTTTTAATGAGTTTTAGTAATGCCTGTGATTTTTCTGTCCATTTCGCCATTGTTTTTCAATGGCAAAAGAAAAAGAGGGACAATCAGTTAGATAATCGTAAGCATAACTAAGTTTATCATAAGTTATAGTTTGTATTTAGAGTTACGTTTGTTCCCTTTATGTTAAACAGGTAAATCAAGAACATGAAAAATATGTAGTGGGGCGCACTTCCGTAATACTAGCCTCACTTTTCACCCCACGAGTTGCTTCAGTGCAAGCTCTCACACAATTGAATATCCTGGCCCGCTGGACAAGAAAGTAAATTAATATTCCATCTAAAATGTTAAGTGAGCTTGCCACAGATGTAGATGATACCTGCCAGGCAGTTCTGCAAAACAGAGCTGCCATTGATTTCCTTCTTCTAGCACAAGGACATGGGTGCGAAAAATTTGAACACATGTGCTGCATGAATTTGTCTGACCACTTTCAATCAATTCACAATTCACAGTTATCACAGTTGAAAGACAACATGAAGGAACTTGTTATTGTAGACCTTCCATTTGCTAATTGGCTCAATTCTTTAGGTTTTCCTTGTTGAGTCAAATATTTAATTAATTTTGCTATTATATTTTTCCGTATTACTATAATTTGTTTAGTCTCTGTAGTGTATGCAAAAGATCGTGCACCACACCTTCAAGTCAGCCTGGGTAGCTCAAAAAGAAAAAAGAGGGAATTGCTACAGAATTTCTGAGAGCGAGAGGGCATGATTTATGTCTGGAGTGAGAATTGAGCTACCCATTAAGACTAAGCCCTGATAAGCAGCCTTGACGGGGCCTAGAAGCCTTTGATGCAGTGAGAATCCAGTTGTGGCACAGTTAGAAATTATGTTAAGGTAACTACAAAGTAATCAGCTATCCGAGTGTGAATTAGGGTAGAGCTGCAGTATGAAAAGTCTGACCACCTTAAGGCAAAGGTAAACAATGTTAGTGTGCCAATCAGAGTGCCTTTGTAAACTGTAAACTATATAGAAGTGTATATAAACTGCCATCTTCTCTCAAATAAATGGAGAACGTTGCATTAATCATATTGGTTGGATGTTCGTTCTGTCCTGTCCAGCTCTCCCAGTTTATGAGGTCCCTGGCTTTGGGCTTGTCTTGGTTTGGAAAGACAGGTGTCTGCTAAGGAAGGCAGGAGCCTCCCCTGTAATGGGAAAAAAATATGTAGACCCCTCTCCCTCCGAACTGTTATAAATTTGAAATTAAGGGGGGCTCTCAGGCAAAAATATGGGAGCAGGAATAACAGTTCTTTATTAGGGAAGAAAATAAAAAGATTAAATAAGCAATGCAGTGAACCCAAACAACACTAACAGAGTCAGAATACAGCCTGACACCCTGTTGGTCATGCTGTTGGCTGCAGTCCAAATGGCAATTATGACTGCAATCCTCCTGGAATAGCAGGTGTGGTTCTGTTGGAGCAGTGATCCTGTAGAAAAGGGCGTAATCTTCCTGCAGTGGAAGAGGTAGCAGCTGTTCCTCTGGGAAATCCAGTGCAGAAAAAGCCATGCTGGTGTTCCAGAAACTCAAGATTATATCCAAGTAGAAATGCCTGGCTCCTCCCCTCTGGGTGGAGCATCTCACAATGGGATGATGTAACTTTACCAGTCATGCAATGAGTCATTCAATGGTCCATTAACAGAAGATTTCTCCCCGGAGGGAGACATTGTTCTTGGTAGAGATAAGAAAACTGCCCAACCTCCAACAGATGGCAAATAGAATACATGCTTATCTTACAAGCCAGGACAGAATGTCACTGCATGACTGATAAAAGTCATAGCATCCTCTCCGCTGTGCACGCAGCACTTTTCATGCCTGCTCCCAACAGGCTCTGGAAGGCAGAGCACAACCTGGCTGCCTCTGCCACCAGCACACCCTAAACACATGCGGAGGAAGAAGCAGCAAGGGCTGTTTTGCGGCCATGCCCAAGAGAGACTGGAAGGGTGCCCTCCCTCTGCTCTCACTTGCTTGGCTTTCTGACTGGCTCTGAGCCTGGGGCTGCCATTCCTCACTTGTGGGCACCAGAACCACAGCCGGGATCCCGGCACTGCCTGACAGCGCTCCGGGCACTGGCAGGGTCGCGCGTCCCAGTCTCGGGCACCGCGCTGCTGCTTCCTTTGCCCTCAGGCACACCCAAAGCTCCCTGTTAAGCCCTGATGGTCCCTGGTTCTGCCCTCTCCCTGATCCTGTGCAGGGATGGAGCACTGCTGAGCTTCCAGGAAGCTATTCTTGAAAACTTCCAGCATTCTAAGCTCCTTTGCCCTCCGTGGAAGCTTGCCATGGAATCCCTTACAGCTGGCTTCAGAGCATACTCAGGTTGGCTCTTCCAAATTCCAGGGGCTCAAGGGTGCTCAGCAACATCTGCAACTCCACAGTGTTGAGGAACTGCACCTTCAGCACAGGCACCTTTCCAGCCTGATCTGCCTTTGTTCCTCTGTGTGTGTGCACAGAACACAGCGTGGAAGAGAACAGCAGCAGGGGCCTGTGTGTCCATGGGCTCAGGATTTGTGCTGCTTCAGCTCCACAGAGATGCAGGTGAGGGGGAGAAACCAAACTGTTTATTAATGGAAGGGAAAGGGAAGGGATGAGATGGGGGCAAAAAAAAGGGGATGGGCAGGGTCTGAGGGCTGGAGGGAGGGAACTGTCAACAGGGAGGGGGAAGGCAGCAGCTATGGGAGCTTGCAGCAGGCACAACTGTGGCCAGCATCAACTGTGCCTGGAGCTCCAGTGACATTGAGTCCTGGTGCTCTCTTCACTGTCTCCTGGTACTCTCCTTGGGACCCTGGTTCTCTGAATCCAGCAGATGACCTCAGTTCTGCACATCTTTGTCCAAAAATTGCCTGAGTTTCCAGGTTAGTGGAGGATGGGCTGTCATCTTCGCTCATGGCTTCAAGGGCTGGAAGACAGATAAACTACCACAGTCAGAGCCCAGAGGGCCACCCGATGATTCTTCTGCTAAGGCCATCTCTCCCAGTTCCCGCCACGCCTAACAGAGAGGAGGACCCAATGGGATCAGCCGCAAGGCGCTGGTCACGAATCCCCCCACTGGCATCCCTGAAATCTCTCTGTGCCCTGCCCACACCAGCCCTCGTCAAAACAAGGAGCGAAACTCGCCGCAGCCAGGACAGGGATTGCAGCTCCCTGGCCGGCATTGCAGCTCTCCCGGCCAGCCCGCGCTGACAGCCCGCTGCCCTCACTCACCCTGAGTGAGAAGGTGAAGCTCGGCTGGCTGTCCCTTCAGGTAGCGCCCGGCCATCCCTGGGAACACAGAGCCTGTCAGGCCCAGCGGCACAGCTCCCTGCCAGCGGCGCTGCCAGCCCTGGGGCCACACGCCCTCCTGGCCCGGCAGGGCTCAGCCCGGGCCCTCGCCGCACGCTGCCGCCCCAGGGCACGGCTGCCAGAGGCGCCGGCCCGGGTGGCGCTGCCGGGGCAGCAGAGGGGCTGGGGCCGAGCTGCGGCGGGGCGGGGAGGGAGCCCGGGCTGGTGGCTCACCCATGAACCTGACGGCCGCCTCTCGCAGGGGCTCCTGTGGGCTCTGCAGGTAGGGCAGGGCCCGGCGCAGGGGCTCGGCCGCGCTGCTGCTGTCCTCTGCCAGCTGCAGAGAGCGGCAGGAGGGAAGGGTTGGCGCGGGCTCAGCCCCTGGGCCGGGCGCTCCCTGCACCAGCCCCAGCCTCCCCTGCCCGCACAGCCCTGAGGCCCGGCCAGCAGCCGCTGGCGCCGGGCTCTGGAGGGGGCAGAGGGCCGGCTGCTGCCCGGGGAGCCGCGGTGCCGCCCCGCAGCCCCGCCGGGCCGCGGCTCCATGGGCACCCGGCTCGGGCCGCAGGAGCCTGGAGCAGAGCCCGCGCGGCCTCGGGCTGCAGCAGCGGGCAGGGGCACAGCTGCCAGCCCGCACACCGAGCACCGCGCTCAGGGGGCTTCTCCAGGCTGAGGCTGTGACTACCCGGTCCTCCTTACCAGGCACTCGGCAAACTTTGACAGCTGCTCCTTCTTCAGCAGCTGTTTGAGATCCCTCCTCTTCAAAAACTCCGCCGCACCAAGCAGCGTTTCCTGAGAAGCCTGGAGAGCAGCCGAGACCCAGAGATGGCCCCAGAGCCCAGGGCGCAGGACCTGCGTCCCTGTGGCAAGGCCTGGAGGAGGCTGCAGCCCGCCAGGCACCAGGGCAGGAGGCAGCCGAACCCCCTCCCAACATCATACAAATGCTCACCTTTGCCACCTGCCAGTTCTCATCATGACAGTAGATTAAAAGTGTGAACAGGCTCTTGTTCACAATTGTCTTCAGGGGCTTTTTTCCCTCATCCACTACCAATATCATCACCTCCAGAAGAGTTCAATGGAGAGCAACCGCACATGGCTGTTGTCCTAGAGGAAAGGAAATGACCTACACCAGCTACTCCAGGCAAAGGCCTGAAAATCCACAGGGCACAAAGTTTCTGGGAAGCACCCGATGCCTGTGGCTCAGGATGCAGAACCTTACGTGGTCAAACAGCAGCAAGAGTGCCTCAGTCAGTTTCGGGGCAGCGGTGCTGGATACCAGGATGTCTTGGTGCTGGAGCACATTCATGAACAAATGAAGGCTCATGCTGACCACCTCTACATCTGGAGCCCCCAGCAGCTCCAGAAGCCTTTGAGACAGACGGTACATTCTTCTGGCCTGTGTGGAACACAAGGCTGTGCTTGGAAGCCGTGGATGGCTGCACGGCAACACCACCCTGGCACTGCAAGCCCACCCTGCTGCTGCAGGGCCCACAGGCTGAAGGCCTGTCCCAAAGCACTGGGGCAGGTGAGGCAGGAGAGCTGGGAGCAGCTGCCTCAGCTCCTGAAGCCCTGCCAGCCCAAGGGGCTGCTTTGCCCAGTGCAGCTTCAGCCACTGCCTCCTTCTCACCATCGAGGGATCCTTGGTGAGCACCGCAAGGCCTCAGAGCGCCAGGTGATGCCTGTGACAGTATTCACTCCAGAGATACCTTGACATGGTCTTCAGAACGCTGCCACGACATTTACTCAAGTCCAGGCACTCAAGGATCTGAAAGGCACAGGGCAGTGACAGGGGACCCAGCCGGCAGGAGCCCAGAACCGCACAGGGCAGGGACCAGGCAGCAGCACACAGCCTGTACACCGTCCCCGGCAGCTGTGGCTACAAGAGGGCAGAGAGCTGGGAGGCAGCTGGGCGAGGCAGCGCTGGCCAACTGGCTCACCTCCACCAGGACTGTCAAGAAGATCAGATCATAGCATGGGTTCTCCTTGCTGAGGTGCCGGAGCAAGTGGAGGGCGGTGTGAGAACACAAAGGGATCAAGACACGCCACATCTCCCTGTCAGGGGAAAAAAGGCACCAAGGCCCTGAGGTGGGGGGAGCAAACCTCTCCCAGGACTGACTCACAGAGGTCCGGTCTTTCCCATGCATCCCTGGAGGGGATGTAGGCGCTATAGGAGGCAGCCCCTTCTGGGCACCCTCCTCTACCAGCCTTTTCCAGTTTCCTTGGCCGTCCCTCAGGGACAAGGCCCTCTGGCCCATGACCACAGGGACTGTGAGGGGCACCTGGGCACAGGGCACAAATGCCGGGGGCAGTGGGGAGAAGGGCGTCTCACCTGGCCAGCAGACCCAAACCATATTCCTGGGTGATAGCACGCATCATCGTGTCCCAGCCACGCTTGCGCTCCATAGCCACCAGAACATGGTCCCACTGCAGTTGGCAGAGCAGAGCCTTCATGGCCTGCACTGCAAACCTGTGTGCAGAGCAAAGCCCAGGTCACACTGGGAGCGCTGGCACTGGCCACAAGGGCACGGGAAGGACGGGGGGACTGGGACCTCCTGAGCCTGCTGTGAAGGCAGTGTTCCTCCCAGCATGCTCTCCAGAATGTAGCAACTTTCTCTGGTGGTATCTCCTGTGTGGTGATGACAACATGGAAGAGCAGAGCCACAAAAAGGTGGGAGGAATAAAGGTTCATCTCCTCGTGGCACTCAGGCACCTGGAGAATCACCCAGAGCACCAGAGTTGCCTGCAAGAGAACAGCCCAAGGCAGCGCTCAGTGACGAGGTGTCCATGGGGCAGGGCCCAAGGGCTGACGCAGGGGGAGCAGTGGGCCTGGTGCCCCCTGAGCCTGGCCCTAGCCCAGGTTTCAGCCCAGCGCCTGAGGGGTGGAGAGGATGGAGGGCAGCTGGAGAGGCAGCCGGGGGGCGAGTAAAGGCCAGTTCCAGAAACTCACAGCCAGGGCAAAGACATCTGTGTCATCCCCATCAGAGGTGAACATGCTGTGCAGAGGCCAGTCCTCCGTCACACAGAGCAGCACTGGTAGCACCTTTTCCACTGTGGGACTCGACAAACTTATGGTTCTCCACATCATTGCAGCAGCTCTGTGGGATCAGAGCTCTGTGTCAGGGGCATCTCGGTCACAGCACCATGCCCTGTGCACCCGTGGGGGCCCAGGTGACAGAGCCCCTGTGCCCTGAAGGGCAGGGGGGGAGCACTGGCAGCAGGCTCAGCAAGCAGAGGGGCCCGAGGCTCCTGGGCCTCTCTGCCTGTCTGGCAGAGCCCATTGCACAGGCTGTGCAGGGCCGTGGGCCCTAAAGGCTGCTGAGCCCTGAGCTCTCAAGGCTCGTGGGCCCCGTACCTGTCACACGTTGGGGCACAGTGCAGGAGGGTCAGCACCACGTCAGCAGGGTGTTCTTCAGCCAGCCTCAAAATGTCAATCTGCAGCCAGAGATCCACAGTGACTTGGGACATGAGACGCTTGTGAATGTTCCTTACAATGGCTGGCACCTGGAGGAAGCATGGGGAAGACTTGGAGTGCTGTCCAAGGGAACAACTTCCCCAGCTTTCCCCAGGAAGTGCTTCCCTTCCCACCATACTCTGCTGGTCTCAAAGGATCAGGAGGCCCAGTGACTGTGGCTTGAGGGAACACACAATCCTGGGAGGCCTCCAGGCCTGGCCCCAGGCTGCTTACCTGCTGCTGAGAAGGAACAGCGCTCTCCTTGAGAAAATCCGTAGTGGGAGCATGAATCACAGTGGGAGTGGGCATGGTGCCAGTCTTTGAGATGCCCTGAGTCATTCTGGTGTCAGTGTTTGTGATGGCCACGCTCTCAGCCATTGCCATGTGAACAGCCGTCACCATCTGAGAATGGATTGCATTGTTCCATGAGTGTGCTGTTGATTCTGGGCTGACATCAGGCTCTGCCTGGAGCTCGGTCAGCCTCGAGTCAGGCTCGGCCGGGCCGTCAGCTGCTGCACTGCCGGTCTTTCTATGTTGAATGCATGGGAACTTCCAGAACATCTGCAGGAGAGCAAAGGACAGGGAAGCCAGGGATGTTCCATGGAGTACTCCAGGCGTGCTGCTGGGCTGAGCAGTGACAGCAGGCCCAGATCAGGTGGGGATGGCTGCAGGCACCTTCAGGGTTTTGCAGAAGCGGCCATGGGCGGGTTCCTTCTCTTGTGTGCGGTCCAGGGCTCCATCAGAGCGAGCACAGCCAGGGCTGAGGGTCTGCGGGAGAGGCTGGAGAACACAGCCCAGCCCTGCGCTCCCCAGGCAGGGACAGCCCCAGGATGCCCCAGGTGGATGGAGCACGGCCACTGCGGGGTGTCTGTCCAAACCCCTCTTCTGTCCTGTCCATGGGCACATCCCAGTGGGACGGGATGGCATGGGATGGGATGGGATGGGATGGGATGGGATGGGATGGGATGGGATGGGATGGGATGGGATGGGATGGGATGGGATGGGATGGGATGGGATGGGATGGGATGGGATGGGATGGCATGGGATGGCATGGGATGGCATGGGATGGCATGGGATGGCATGGGATGGGATGGGATGGGATGGCATGGGATGGGATGGGATGGGATGGCATGGGATGGGATGGGACGGGACGGGACGGGACAGGACGGGACGGGATGAGTTTTGGGTGTCTGGAACTGGGATCTCCGGCATCCACTGGAACTTGGATCAGCTGGGTTTATGGTTTCCTGGGACAGGGATCCACTGGGACTGGGGTCTGCTGGGATTTGGATCTGACGGGGTTGGGATTGACTGGATCTGGGATCAATGGTTGCTGGGGCTGGGATCTGCTGGGATCCAGAATCTGCCAGGTCTGAGGTTTCTGGGTCAGGGATCTCCTGGGATGGGATCCACTGGGACTGGGATCTGCTGGACCAGGGGTCTGTGGATGCAGGGATGATCCCCAACTGGGATCCCTGGGATCTGCTGAAGTCAGGATCTGTTCTTTGATCTGGGATCTCCTGTGGCTGGAGTACCTGGGATCTCCTGGAGTTGGGATCCACTGGACCTGGGGCAGTCGTTCAATGGAATCTACTGGGAATGGGATCTGCTCGGACTGGGATCTGCTGGGTTTGGGATCTGCTGGCCCTGGGATCTGCTGGGTTTGGGACCTGCTGGGCTTGGGATCTGCTGGGCTTGGGATCTGCTGGGGCTCAGATCTGCTGGGAATGGGATCTGCTGGGGCCTGGATCTGCAGGACTGAGATACACTGAATCTGGGATCTCCAGGTGCTGGGATGAGCTGGAAGGGGAATCTCTGGGATCTGGGATCTGCAGCTCTGAGACCCACCAGATCTGGGATCTACTGCAGTCAGGACATGAAGCTCTGGGATCTGCTAGACCCAGGATCCACTGGATCCAGGATCAAAAGGTGCCAGGACAGGCTGGAAAGGGAATCTCCAGGATCTGGCAGAGCTAGGATCTGATAGATCTGGGATCCACCAGCAGCTCTTCCCTGGGAGCATCCCTTGGATGGAATGGGGGAGGTGGAATCCCAGTTTGGACCCATGGACCCAGCAGGACCATTCGGGTCCATGGGAAGGACAGCACGTAGCCCCTTGGATATTTGGGGTTTTGGAGGCCAAATTCCAATTTTGGCCATGGACACCTTGTGGAGAAGAACAGATTTTTCCACATGAAAGAAAAGCACAAAGTCCAAGAGTTTGGGAAGAAGATCAGAGGTGGCCACCATAGGAGAGGACAGCCAGAGCTGTCCCTCATGGCAGCTTCTGGCTCGGAAAAGCCCTTGGATATTCGCAGTTTTGGAGGTGGATTCTCAGTGTTGTCCATGGGCACCTGGACATGAAAGGGGTTTAATTCCACAGGGAGAAAAGCACCAAGCCCCAGTTCCACAGCCAATCACAAAACCCCCAAATTTTCACAGCCAATCACAGAAACCTCAAATATTTGCAGCCACCTCATCAACCTGCCCAGCAGGAGAAGTCAAGCATTTCTACCTGGATATAATCTTGAGTTTCTGGAGGAACACCAGAACAGCCTTTCCACTGGATTCCCAGAGGAACAGCTAGGGTTTTCCACTGCCTCTTCAGAGGAAGACTACACCCTTCTACAGGATCACTGCTCCAACAGAACCACAGCTGACACTCCAGCAGGACTGCAGCCACCATTCCAATTGAACAGCTAACAACACCCTGACCAAAAGGGTGTCAGGTTGAATTCTGACTCTGTCAGTGTTGTTTTGCATTACTGCATTGTTTATTTTATCTTTTTATTTTCTTCCATAATAAAGAGCTGTTATTCCTGCTCACATATCTTTGCCTGAGTACCCCCCACAATTTCAAAATAAAAACAATTTGGAGGGAGGGGGTTTACAGTTTCCAGTTCAGGGGAGGCTCCTGCCTTCTTAGCAGACACCCGTCTTTCCAAACCAAGACAGTTGCCATGGAAACCTCTGGTATCCCATTCCCAGGGTCATGGGATCCCAGAAGCACAGAATTGGCTGAGCTGGGAGGGACCCATCAGGATCCTCGAGACCAGCTGCTGGCCCTGCACAGGGCACCCCAACACTGCCAGCCTGGGCCTGGCAGCGCTGTCCAAACGCTGCTGGAGCTCAGAGAGCCCTGGAGCTGTGACCCTTCCCTGGGGAGCCTGGGCAGTGCCCCAGCAGCCTCTGGGCAAAAACCTTTTCCTGAGATCCAACCTAAGCCTGCCCCGACTCAGCTGCAGCCGCTCCCTGCACTCCTGTCCCTGGGCACCAGAGTGAAGAGGTTCCCTCAGCCCCAGCCAGGGACCCGCTCCCAAGGCTGCTGCCATGGCCACCAGGGCTGGCACCAGCTGGGATGCTCGGTTTCCATGGGCCGGGCTTCAGGAATGGGATTCCCCAATTTCCTGCTCCCACTAAAACCGCGCTGCTGCTCGCTGCCCTCCCGCCTCCCATGGAAAGCACAAAAGGCAAAGATCCTGGGCTGGGATCAGAAAAATTTACTGGGAACAGCAATGAGATAAGGAACGAACAGGAACAGAAACAATATTGACAACAGAAGGGATAAGAAAAACTATTTAAAGGGAAAACTAAAACATCAATGACTGTGTCCTCCCGGCCATGTATTTCCTCCAGCCTGGAAAGGACACCCTTCTCCTCAGGGAGAGAGAGAACCCCTTTCCTGCCCCTGGCAATGACCCGAGGTGGGAGTGAATGTAATGACAGGGCCATGGCCAGACCCTCATGTTCTTCAATCCCACATCAGGTCATTGTCAGGGGTAGGAGAAGGTACAGGTGTCTTCCCAGCATGGATCACAGGGAACAGGGATCACCAGGGCTCTTCCCAACATGGGTTCTTCAATGGGGGATGAAGCTGGAGCGGTGCACGAAGCTTCTCCTGCAGTTGGGGCACCCACAGGGCTTCCCTCACTGATGTTGGGTCAAATGAGAGCTCCGAGTGAAGCTCTTCCCACACTGGGGACACTCATAGGGCCTCTCCCCAGTGTGGATGCGCCTGTGCGTGATGAGGTTGGAGTTGCGGTTGAAGCCCTTCCCGGAGTTGGGGCAGAGGAAGGGCCTCTCCTCGGTGTGGATCCACTCGTGCAGGAGGAGACGGGAGCTGATCCAAAACCCTCTCCCACACTGGGGACACTCGTAAGGCCTCTCCCCAGTGTGGATGCACTGGTGGGTGACAAGGTGGGGGCTGCATCTGAAGCCCTTCCCACACTCCCCACACTTGTAGGGTCATTCCCCAGTGTGGATCATCTGGTGGCAGATGAGGCTGTTGCTTTGCCTGAAGCTCTTCCCACACTCCAAGCACATGTAGGGCTTCTCCCCTTGGTGAACCTGCTCATGGACCTCCAGCTCTGAGCTCTGGCCAGAGTTCTGTCCACCTTCCCGGCACAGTGGGGATCTTCCCTCCTCAGAGCACCCTGGGCGGGGTTTGCAGCCCCTCCTCCTGTGGGATCTCCGGGACTTTTCCTCCCCATTGGATTCCTGTGCCCTGGAGTAGCTCAAAACAGCCTCTTCCATGAGGTTCTGCCATGGGGATTTGTCGTCCCTGGTCTCCATCCTCAGCTCCTTGTCTGGGGGAGGAAAGACAAGGAGAGGATGGGATTTGCTTCCGTTCCACAGGGAAGGGGAAGGAGATCCCCCCAGTGTGGCCCCGGCAGGATGGTGTCATCACGGGGGTTGTCCTGCAGCCAGGGGCTGTGCTGGGCTGGGAGATGGAGCAGGAGAGAGGGGGAAAGGGGCACTCACTTCCTCCTCACCTGCCTGAGGGTCCCAGGACATCTTCCTTTTTTTCACGGACTCCTTCGCCATCCAGCCATGGTTTGAGAATAAGAAATCCTGGTTTGGGGAAAACAATGTATGGGCACATTGGGTCAGGGGGGGTCCTACTGCCCAAGTCCAACTCTAAAAGTCACCGGCCATCAGATGATCATAAAAGCCTCGAAAACACCAAGATTAAGAACCCCAAAATATGCAACAAAAACAAGATTCAGCAAAACCACCAAACCCTGAGTTTCCCATCTCTGGCCTCTCCACTCTGGGCTCCTGGAGGCCCCCCCTGTCTGGGTTTCTGTGGGTCAAGTTTACATTGGTGCTCCCCCTCTCTGGGCTGCTGGGGATCCTGGCAATGCCACAGGTTCCCCTTCTCTGGGCTCACCACTTTGGCATCACAGGCGTCCCAGGGGTCAGCACTGTCCAGGGTCCCTGTTTCAGGGTTCTGGGGTATCCATGGGTGCCCCCATCCATGCTCCCAACACGTCCAGGCTTCTGGAGCACCGGCAGCTCTCGTATTGCCCGTTTCTGCTCCCTTGCCGGTGTCCCTGCCAGCCCTGCCGGTACCGGGCGATCCCCACGCGGCTCCGGGCTGACAGCGCAGCCCCTGGGCCGGGCAGAGCCAGCCCCAGTGCTATGAACAAAACAGCCTGGCTGGGACACTTGGCTTGGGCTAAGTACTGACATTGAAATGTTAATTAGCTAATTGTTCCTGGGAATCACATACCTCCCCCCACCCTCACTACCATTCTAGGACTGGGATGCAAAATAATCCAGTGGAATCATGGGAGGGAGTTTTGGGGATGAAAAACACCCCTAAATGGAAAAGATGGGCACAGTGGAGGGGGCTGGATGGGTGTGCTCGTTGGGGAAAAGGGAACCCCATCCCTAGTCTGTGTTTGACCTGTCACCATAACCTGCAGAGGACTAGACTGGACTGGGCTGTGGGAAGCAGGAGCAAAGCACACACACACTTCCTGGTGTTACCAGGAGGGAAGGAGAGGGGACAGCTGTTGCTGGACTTCGGCAGCAGGCTCTGCACATCCCCTCACCCTTTGGCCACCGGTGTGCCAGGAGGAAAGGAGAGAGGACGGTCTGCTGGGACTTCAGATACGGACTGCACACCTCTTCACCTCCAGCTACCAGCGTGCCACGGAGACTCCAGGGACAGACTCTGCATGCCTGCTCACCCTTCGGCTACCGGAGAAGCTACAAGAGCGAGCGGGGGCGAGCTCCTCGTTGAGCCCCCTGCCGAGCTGACTTTTTAATAAAGAGCTGACTATTAATAAAGGCATAGACCCTGTTCATTTCACCAGCACGGGGGGACCCTGCACCCTCCGCTCCCTGGGCAGCCGCGCCCAGCCCCGGGCACAGAGCTCCGGCAGCCCCCGCCGCCCCCTGCCCGGGGACCCTCGGGGACCCCCGCAGCCGGGGCTGCCTCTGAGCGGCCGCCCGGGGCTCGGCCCCGAGCACAGAGCTCTGCCCGGGGGCTCCCGGCCCCAGCGCCGGCTGCGGGCCCGGCCGGCCGCTCCCGGCTCGCACAGCCCGCCCGGGGCCGCCAACAAAACATCCCAACCACAAATCCACAAACCAACCCTGCCCCGCTGTGCTCCTGCGCCTTCCCAGGGACCCCAACCCCGCGGCAATGGCCCCGCACCGGGACAAAAAGCTGCTCCAGCCCAGCCCTCGGCACCCCCGCCTGCGGCTCGTCCCTGGCACACAGATCCCGGCAGCTGTCCCATTGCCGCAGCTGCGGCTCTGGAGCAGGGAGGCTCTGCGGGACCCCCGGGCTGTGCCCCCTCCCAGCCCTGCCCGCCCCGCACCTGCAGCCCTGCAGGGTTCAGTGTCAGGGCAGGGGAGCTCAGAGCCCTTTTCTCCCCTCTGGCCTGAGGCTCTGCATTGCCAATGGCCCTGCAGCTGCCAAAGGGGCCTTTTTGGCTCAGCTGAGAACAGTTCTGCTGAGAGCTTGTCCTAAATCTGCTTTTCCTGCAAATGTGCCAAATGAATCCTCATTTTTTTTGCAGCCCCAGCTCTTGTGTTCCTGCAGGTGTACACCTCTGCTGAGGGGGTTGGGGTTCTCTATTTCTTGTTTTTTTTTTTTTTTTTTTCCTTTGGTTTGGATTTTTCCCTTTGGTTTGATTTGTCTGTTTGGCTTTTTTTTTGTTGTTGTTGTTATTTGGGTTTTTTTTTTTTAGGGGATTATTTTTTTGTTTGGTATGGTTTTTTATTGGTTTTCGTTGTGGGTTTTTTGGGGATTTTTTTGGGTTGGTTTTTTTTTTTTTGGTTGTTTTTTGGTTGTTTTTTTTTCTTTTACTTAATCAGCTTCTCCCTGTCAGCTCTGGGCAGAGCTCTGACTGTGTCTGACTCTTCTGTGGCACTGTGGAATTGGCCAGGGGGACCTTCCCTGAGCTGTCTGCAGAGGAATCTACATTAGCCCAGGCTGGGGTCGGCAGTGGCCGCTCAGTTCCATTGGCTGGACGCGGCTCTGGACGCTTCCCTTGTAGCCTCTCCAGGGAGGGAACGCTGGGGCTGTCGCTGCTGGGGTGTCACAGACAGGGGAATGCTGGGGCTGTCACTGCTGGGGTGTCACAGACAGGGGAACGCTGGGGCTGTCGCTGCTGGGGTGTCACAGACAGGGGAATGCTGGGGCTGTCACTGCTGGGGTGTCTTCCTTGCAAGGTGGGGCAGTTTGGATGGGGTGGGCGTGTCCCCAGGGCACGTGGAGTTGTGTCCTCGGGCTCTTTGTGACACCGTGATCACTGTGGGAGGGAAAAGGGACAGAGTGACCATTTGTGACACGTCCTGACATAGGTGCCGGCGGCGACACGGCCACGCCACAGTGCTCGGTGCACACAACAGGACAGGACAGGACAGAGCAGTACTGTGAAGAGCCCCCACACAGCCAACTCCTTCCTTGCTGACCCGGAGCTTTTCCAAGGCATTCCCTGTGCAGTTGACATTGAGGCCCCTCAGCAGCTCTGGCCACGCTTGCTCTTCACTAGATGCAGCCCTGAACCGGACACAAGAACAGGAATCTGCCCATGGCCGCTTCCGCAGAACAGCGCAGGTACCTGCGGCCATCCCCCCCTGGGCTGGGCCTGCTGTCACTGCTCAGCTGAGCACCAAGTGGTTGGAGCACTCCATGCATTCTTCCTCTCTTCCTGCCCTTCTCCTGCAGACCATCTGTCAATTCATCACGTGCATTTGGCAGGAAGAGACCTGCCATGCAAGCATGCATGAAAGCCATGAAAAAAAAAAAGAGACCTGCCATGAAAGCAAGCATGCAGCTTTCAAAATCCCATTATATAAACATCCCACGGGAGGTATTTCCACTAATACCCCCAAAACTTACGGAGAAGGAAGCACCTTGTAAATGATACACACAAGGCTAACAAGGAGTTTTAAGTCTGGCTTTGTCTTTTCTGCCTGTTTGTTCCAAATGAGTGTTTCCTCCTCCTCTTTGCTGACTGGTGGTAGTCTGTTATCTCCACAAATCTTCTGCGGAGATTATAGCCCTGCTGTGGTGATCTGCCCTGCTCTCTCTGCCTTAGCAGGGATTGCCCCCAAGTATTACTGAGTGCAGTAGCCCTCTTGGAGCTAGCATTCGAAGACACTTCCAGTGTATCATCCTTTGGCTCTTGGTCATAATGTGGAGGGCTTCTTCTCCACCAGCTCCTCCTCCTCTTCCTCCTCACTGACTGGTGGTAGTCTGTGATCTCCACAAACTGTCTGCGAAGATCATAGCCCTGACATGAGGACTGGCTTTGCTCTCTCTGTCTTGGCAGGTGTTGTACCCAAGCAGCACTGGGTGCAGGAGCCCACTGACAGCTTCTGTTGAGGGACCCTGAAGCTGTGCCATCCTTGACAGTATGGTCACGACCTGGAGGAGTACTTCTCTTTGTCTTCCTCCCTGTTGAGTTGTTTGAGTCAGTGCTGTTCATGAACCAGCTGCAGTGATCATTGCCCCACTGTAGGGATCTACTCTGGATCCTCTCCCTGGCACTTGTCCCCTGGCAGTGCATTGACATAGTCCTACCAGGTTTACCGTATATCTCTGCAGAACCCGCCTGCTCACTGCTGACCCCACACTGACTGAGGAAGGAATGGGCATAGGATGGTGTCAGAGAGGAAGCCACCATTCCTTCCATATTCAAATCAGAGCATCTGGAGGGGAAAAAAAAAAAGTGATCTCTGTTTAAGACCTTCCTTGCAAGCTCCTCTGGGGTTCAGTCAGTTTCTAGGAGTGGTTTCTACAGCAGAGAGAAGATTTCACCAAGATCACCAATGGAAAACTTGATGGGGGGTCTTCCCACCTGTCAGAACAATTCTTCATCTCTATTCTTCCTACAGCCTTCATTTCACAGAATCCTAGAAAGGTTTGAGTTGGACTACCAAACCAAACTACCATCTAGTTCTACCTCCCCCTACCATGAGCAGGGACATTTACAGGTTGCTCCAACCTCCATCCAGCCTGACCTTGAACACTTCCAGGAATGGGGCAGCCACACCTTAGCGAAGCTCGTAGACAACTTCTGTCAGTGCCTCACCATCCTTACAGGCAAGAATTTCTTTGTAATAACTAACCTAAATATCTCTTTCACTTTGAAATGTTTACCTGTTGTCCTATCACTGCTTTCCCTGATAAAGAACCCCTCACCATCTTTCCTGGAGTCACCTTTAAGACCTCTCAACATTACTTAGTTTCAGAGAGTACACAAGGAGCTGCTTACACAGGCCAGCACCCTAAAGCCCAGCAAGAGAAGGACTGATATGGATGTAGTTCAGAATTGACAGCTCTGAAGTAAGCAGAGAAGAATCGTCTCCTATGACAGAAACACCACAAGGATGTGAAGACAAAGAGCAAAGCCAGGAAAAGGAAACATATCCTGAACACATGACCCTGATTATTACCTGGCATAGAACAGCAAATAGGCTTGCTGCCTGAGAACTGCGTGGATGCCACAATTTTCCACAGACTCATCATCCATCTTGTACCATTGCCCATTGCTGGCCTGCAAAGAAAGTCATCCATTTCTGGAAATGAACTGGAGATTTTCTCCACAACACCAAAGAGAGAGAGCAGCTGAACACAGAGGACACCACAACAAATCCAAATCATCCCTGAAAGAGACCTTATCTCCCAAAAGCCTTGGATACCTGTAACACTGACAGGGAAGTTTGTTTTCCCAGCACATGTTACTTTATCAAGAGAGAAGTTGCTCTTTACCTTTGTATAGCAGAAGAAGTGTCCATCAAGACAGGTGTCACCACTGTGCACCACAAGAGCATATAAGGAGTAGAGGAGGGGTTCTCCAGCTGTGTCAGACATGTATGGCCGAAGATCCAAGTACTCAGGATACTCAACAATCTACAGAAATACCAAGTGGCCTCAGAAATTATCCCAAGCTACCACATGGAATAGTCCTTCAGCACACAGTGGTTTGGGCAGCAGGAAACTGTTCTCAGCTAAAGTAGCTCTGTTGGAGCAGAGTCCAGGTCTTCTCATAGGAATTCTCCTCTACCCATAACAGAACACAAAAACCCCAACATGAACAGCTTCTGAAAGAGTGTACTGCTTTGGGAAATCTCCTGCTTCAAATAGAAAGTTGCACTGCAGTTGCATACACACCTTGCTAATCTTCTTGCCTGTGTGATCGGCGGCCCTTTCCAGGCACACCGTGAAGACCTTGGGCACACAATGGACTGTAACCCTCTTAGAGGCGGTTACCTTCTTCTCACACCTTGAAACAAAGCAGAGCCAAGTGCTGAAATGCACCCTATCTTTGCCCAACGAGACCAGACAAGCTTTTGTGTCTCACATATCCTTACAGTATTTTAAGGCTATTCCACGCCATAAGGTCACACAAAAAACTCATGTCTCATTATCGTACTTTAAACCTCCATGAGAAGATGATTCTGCTCAATGACATGCAGCTTCTCCACACAGAATCAAGTGTTGATAAGTTGTTAGAAATCATCTTACTTGCTACATTTGAGGCAGTCTTTTCCATCCAGATTCTTGGGTGTCACGAAGTTCTCCAGAGCTTTGGTGAGGGATGAGGGTGCCTGGAGAAGAGCAAAAGGAGCCACTGAGCTGTGGGAAATGCACATGCCTGAACACTTCCAAGGAGCCAACAAAAAGATCCAGGCACCTGATGCTGAGGAGATTCAACATGACTCTGCAGGCTGTGGAAGAAAGGAGGGGAAAAAGGGAGGGTAGGGGGGAGACAGGGAGTCAGGAGACAGGAAGGAGGGAAGGGAGGTGTCGGAACCCAAAATGTCCCTCAGACATTTTTAGAGGTTCCAGGCCTTGGTCAGAAGCATTTTAGACCCTGGCAGCCAGCTGAAAACAACTGTGATTTTGAGTTTGAACCATGGAATGAATTACCAACTTTGAGGGTGGAACAAGCAGTCACAGAATGTTAGATGGTATAGTAAAAGTAGTCACAAGTTAGAGGGTAAAATTTTTTAGTGTTGTACAGGGGGGTTTTAGTACCTGTACAGGGGGGTTTTCACTTTGTACAGGGGGGTCAGGAGTTCTAAGATGGAGGAAAGTGGTCCTTATCTTATTCTTCCTCCTTCTTCTTCCTTACCTCCATGTTCTTGATGATGTTGACATTCACAGATTGGTTTAGAGTAGAAAAGCACATTGTAATGTAGATAGTAAGTATTGGAGAAAATCTATAAACATATAGTACGTAATATATCATATAAAAGATAGTAGCAGCTTTGGGCGGGAAGAGAGACGACGAAGACACCGGACAGTGAGGGTGTCAGGAGAATGTGTACCTCTGCCTGGGCCGCAGACCAAAGCAGCCGCAGCGCAGGACAATCTTTTAGATAGCTAGCAATAAACTACCTTGAGACCGGACAACAAGAGGCTGTGGAGTTTTTCTTTGGAAGCGCGGGTTAGAAGAGAGACTTTACCACCACACGAGAGCCCCAAATCAATCCCGAAGTTCTCACAGGGAGGAAGGGAGCAAAGGGAGGGAAGGGAGGGAGGGAGGCTGAAATTTCTTTTTTGTCCCAGGAGTTGCTGGGACCATCAAGAGCTTCCTCTGTAGAATGGGGAGATGAGTGCTATGGTCTCTGCAGAAGGAGGTACATTCTCCTTCCCACCCACCACCAAGCTCCCTTGTGCTCACAGGATCCATTGTTAAAGCAAATGCTTTGGGTTTGAAAAACTACAGGGACCTTGGGACGTCTTGAAGCACAACTGCAAGCCCTCTTACTTTGATATCCAAAAGGACATGCAGGAAGGCCTTGTAGGAATCAGAAACTGCTTGGCACCTCAAGCATGTGACTGGAAGGAAAATCAGAATGCTAAGTGAAGAAGTTAAATGATGGTGACAGCTTATGCTCTTGGTACCAGTCATGCGAGTTACAGGACCAGCCATTTATCACAGACAAACAGAAGGGTGAAAGCAATGCCAAGGAGAACAATAGATGTGGAAACATTACCTCTGGATTTCAGAAAGCCCCCAAATATTTGATGGATGATAGTAGTTGTTTGAGAAGAGATGTCCACACTGGAAATAAATGGCAACGCAGAGTTATCCCCTCCTCCAAGACTTTAGCTTGGAAAGCCCTGGGCATAGGCTTTCCTTGATGGGAGCACATCCAAGGAATCCAGTGGGCTTGGGAACATGGGAAAGATAATTTACTTATGCTTACTCACTGCTTCCACTCAGACAAGCTCTCTGCATGGCCTCAAGAGCGCAGCGTAAGAACTCATAGGCATCTCCAGCCATGTCAGGCTCAAATTCTTCTCCTATGACTAAGAAAGAAGTTAGTAGTTCTCACTTACAAGAAAGGGAGAGAACCTACCAAAGCATCTGAAATTACTTACATTTGAGGACCCTGACAACAGCCCTAGGCCAGATAACATTGGCTGAAGAGTGCAGGACTTTCCTAACATGTGCTTCCATGATGCACATCATGCAGAAGCCTTGCCGATGACCTGAAGAGGGAGGGACAGAGGAAAGCTCCTCAGGTTAGCACATAATCCCTCCCTAGCACTGGGAAATCTAATCAAGACCTTGAAGTTCTAAGAACAGTCTTCACTCCTCTTCTCCCAAGCTGATAATGTCACAGAATCACAGAATCACTAGGTTGGAAGAGACCTTCAAGATCATGGAGTCCAACCCATGCCCTAACACCACCTCAACTGAACCATGGCACTGAGTACCACATCCAGTCTTTTTTTAAATGCATCCAGGGATGGTGGCTCTACCACCTCCCTGGGCAGACCATTCCGTAACTTTATCACCCTTTCTGTAAAAAACTTTTTCATAATATCCAATCTATATTTCCCTTGATGCAGCTTGAGACTGTGTACTCTGGTTCAGGTCAGCTGTTGCCTGGCAAAGGAAACTAACCCCCACCTGACTTACAACCATCCTTCAGGTAAGTGTAGAGAGTGATAAGGTCACCTCTGAGTCTGCTTTTCTCCAGGCTAAACAATTCCAGCTCCCTCAGTTATTCCTCATAGAGTTTGTGCTCCAAGCCCCTCGCCAGCCTTGTTGCCCTCCTCTGGACATGCTCGAGCATCTCAATATCCTTCCTAAACTGAGGGACCAGAACTGGACACAGCACTCAAGGTGCAGCCTTGTACACAGCCAAGTACAGGGGAAGAATGACCTCCCTGCTCCTGCTGGCCACACCATTCCTGATACAGGCCAGGATGCCACTGGCCTTCTTGGCCACCAGGGCACACTGCTGGCTCCTGTAAAGTCAGCTGTCAACCAGTACCCCCAGGTCCCTTTCTGCCTGGGCACTATCCAGCCACACCGTCCCCAGCCCACAACATTGCAGGGGTTGTTGTGGCCAAAATGCAAGACAGCACTTGGACTTACTCGACTTCATCTTATTAAACTCTGCCCATCTATCCAACTGTTCCAACTGTTCCTAACAAGCCTGGGACATTTTAATGTAGGGAAAACATTCTTCATAAATAGTCACAAGTTTTTTGGTGCAATTAGCCAAGAGGGTTTAACTTGCAGGGACAGAGATACCAGGCAAGAAAGAAGTGTCTTCCTGAAGATGGACACACATCTTGTGTCATCTGTGGACATGCACAATGGAACAATGGCTTCTTCTTCTTTGAATACAAGCTCATGGGGCTGACAAAGAAGGGCTTCTGTCCTCCTAAATACAGTTCCAGGTTCTTTAATCCTTAGGATGTGCTCAAGAGATTTACAAGGAAATATTCCTGAAAGTACTCACACAACTGGCTATGGTCACAAGAGAGCAGGTAGTTGGCCAGAGGGGGCGTGTATGTCAGGCACTGCAGGATGACATTGATGTAGCAAGTACTGCCCAAGTTGCAGAGTCCTGCTCCAGGTCTCTGCTGCCAGTCCATGCAAATCTCCTCTGGGGGAAAGAGGATCCTTTGTGGCAGAGCCATTCCCTCAGCAATGCTTGCCGCTGCAGGGAAATTACACATTATGAGATATGACAGTATTGTTGCTTGAAAGCACATTCAAATGTTGAGTTCTCTACAGGAGCACCAAGAACAACAGCTCTAACTGCCATCACAGACGCACTAGGGAAAGCCTAACAGCCCATTTACATCTACAGGTATGGATACAGTTTTGGAAAACAGTATGTTCCCCTGTTTAGTCTGCCAAAAGTCCAACAAAGCCCACTCTGATTTCTGAACCTCAGGCTACCTTCCTTCCCTTCTAGATCCTTGGATTATCAGTTCCTTTTTCCTCATTGTAATGTGAAAAGAACAAGCAAGTACCTATGGGTGTCAGATCTTTCTAATGTCAATATTCTCTTTCAAAGTCTTGTGCACTAGTGACAGAGTGACCAAATGCATTTTTCTGTGTGTAACCAAAATCACCTGGGGCAGTCTGGCTGCTCTCAGGAAACACCCCAGATTTCACTCTAGTTTGTTAGCACACTGACACTCAAGAATAAAGCACCAGCCATATTGTCTGTGGGCATTCACAAAGTTCAAGGCTGCTGGCAAAAGTGTTACAGAAATTATTTCCTGTTGCAGCTGTTGCTCCTCTCAGGAACAGATGGAAAAGTTGTGGCTGACAAAGGATCCAGATCCTCCTCCAGAACAGATCAGAACTAAACCCATCTCCTGTTGAGAAAGAAAATAAATGTAGCTTGAAAATTAAAAAAACTGAAATGCGACCCACAGAATAGCTTTAACTGTCAGGATCATTTTGTTGGTGCTTGTAGACACTGCAAAAGACAGAGGATGCTTGAAAAAATGCAGACATGCAAGTAGCAAAGGAAGGAGCTGAGTTATCCTGAAGACCAGCTCAATCTTTATTGGTCTGCTCCTTGGGATACCAAGCATTGGGCAGGTGAGGTCACAGTGGCTGGACAGGTGCCACATCTCTGCCCCTTTGTGACATGAGGCTGCATGGGGACATCTCCTGTTGTGCCCATGGAACCCTATGGCTACCACAACCCAGGCACCTCTCACAAATGGAAGTCACTGGACTTCCCCTGGTAAAGAATTCACCCACCAACCAAGTTCCTGTCTCTTCCTGGAGCTGCAGCAGCCAGAGGAATTAAAGGCTGCTGAGAGCTATGAGCCCAGCCACTGGTTTGGCTGAAACACTTGCAGTGCTGGGGGTTTCTTTTCCATTCTTCCCAGGTACTGTAATTTGTCCCTGTGACCTGTGTAGCAAATCACCTGGGCTCTCAGGGTTCATTTTCAATTCATTCTCTCTGCCCTTAAGGTCAGCCTCAAGCTGACCCTGAACTAGAAATACCAAATAAACACCTTCAGAAACTGTGTTTGTGTGGGCCTTCAGTGGCTGCTAGGCACCCACCCAGCTTCTCTCTCACCCTAGCTCACTCATTCTTGCTGGCTTTTTAGCACCAGAATTCTTTAGAATCCACCTCTCAGGAGAGCACATTAGAATCCAAAGCCTCATTTTAAGCTCACTGAAAGCTCAAAGCCTTATGTTCTTGATGCCCAAAGTCTCATTTGGGAGCTAAAACAAATTATTTATAGGGTGTAAAGCCGCATTTTTAAGGCTATTCCATTAGTATCCATATATTTTAGTCTTTTTTTTAGGAACTACAGTTTCATTTTTAGGGTCCAAAAGATCCTGGTTTAAATCCAAACTGACCTTGTTTAGGCACAAACACCACTGTTGTAAATGCAGGCAAACCCAATGGGAAGAGATTATTATGTCTGACTCAGTTCAGAAGGCTGAATGATTTCTTTATTATAATTATGCTAAAATACATTAATATACTATATATAGGAAAATACTAAAATTACAAAACCTACTTATTCTATCATTTCTGACTAACACAATTCGTGACCCTCTCATGAGAGTCCAGACACAGGCGGATTGGGCTGGCCATCAGGCTCAATCCTCACCAGAATCCAATCACCCCAGGTAAACAATTCTCTAAACACATTCCACATGAGAAAAACAAGGAGCAGAAATATAAATTGTTTTCTCTTTCTTTCTTTCTTTCTTTCTCTCTGTGCACCTTTATGAAAAAACCCGAGAGAGAGAGAAATGTGCTTGCCACACACCACGACTCATCTGAAGGGCTCAGAGCATCATTTTGAAGGTTCCAAGTTCTATTTGGAAGGTCCAAAGCTTCATCTGCAGGGTCTAGAGCCTCAGTTGTTTTGATCCCAGAGGAGAGATCTGTGGAAGCTAAGAAGAGGGTTTGGACCCTAGAAAGACCTCTTGGACTTTCTAAAGAAGGCTTTGGACCTACAGATGTGCCTTTACCCTACAAATGAAAATTTGGACCTTCCAAATCAGGTCCTACAGCCAATAAAAAGTAATATAAAACAGACTGGAACCTCAGAAATTCAGGTTGTGGCCCTAAAATTGAGGCTTTAGGCATGAAAAAAATTAATAGGTAAGATGGTACAAAAGACCCTTTAGAACTTAGTGATTCTTCTCCACTGCCAAGAAGTTAAGCTTTAGGCTGTCATGGGGAGCTAAATGCCAGCAATAGCTTTCTGTCCTGTTACCTTTTGTGTGGAAGCAATCCCTGAACACATTCAATTTTGGATGTGCTCTCTGAAAAGTGCAGCAGGGCATTTTGAGGTGGGCCTCTTGCTCTCCTCAGAGAGAATTGCAGGCCATGCTCCAAGGCTATGGGATTCCCCACATCTCTATGCAGATGAGGAGGAAATGGGTGTTGTCCTACCTTGTACAGCAAGAGCTGTTGTTGGATGTAGCTAGTCACTGTGTCCCAGACAACCATTCACTCTGGAAAGCAGAGGAAAGCCAGGCTGTGCTCTGCATCTGCTGGCTCTCAACTCTCCCAGAACCCCTGGGCTGTGGGGCATTGGCAGATGTGCCACTGCTGTCTGCAGCCTTGGATGGAGACACCCACAGGACAGCTGCCATGTCCCACAATGCTGCATGGGTCCTGGCAACAGTCCTGTGGTGTCTGCAGATGTCTGTACCTCAAGGGGTGATGCTGGGCATCATGAAGGTGGGCTCCAGTCTCTCCCAGAAGCCTGTCTTGGTCTGCCTCATGCTGGTGAGTTGATCCTCAGTGGAGAAAGCCCTGACAACCTCTAAAATCTGCAGCTCCCTGTCTCAAGTGTCACAGCTGAAATTTTTCATCTTTCCCAAAAAGCTATTGAAGGATGAGCCACCTGCAGACAGACTGTTGAAGCTGACATGCATCCCAGTGTGACTCAGGGAACACCCACACCACCACAAAGAAGCAAAGATGAGCCTCTCACTCCCTCCCTGTCCCCCCCCCCCCCCCCCCCCGAGTGTCTTGGGACACAATTTACTCATGAGTACCTGAGGAAATGAGTCTTTGAAATCCTAAAAGAAGGATTGGAGATGGCCAAATTGCAGACTGAATTCTAAAGAGGGGCTTTGATCCCCAACACTGAGGTTTTGGAAAACTAAAAAGGAAGGTTTGGGGGCAAAAATGAGCCTTTGGACTCACAAATAAGGCTTTGGAACTTGAGCCTTAAACAATAGTGCTTTGGGCCCTCTAAATATGTCTTTCAACTCTAAAAGCATAAACCTTGTCAGTTATGAACTGCTTTTTAGGAATTTAGCAAATTTTAGCAACTTTATAGTCTAAAAATATGGTTTTAAACTTTAAATTGACTCTTTGTTCTCCCAAACACAAGTTCTGGTGATTTACAATGTATGCGGTTCTCCCTCTTTGTGTGGATTGTGTAATAAAAGTAATGTTTGTGCCTGAAAAACTCAGAGTTAAATCTGAAAAATAATTTGGACCTTGAAAATTGTGTGGGAGCTAATCTTTTTTTTTTTTTTTTTTTTTTTTTTTTTTTTTTTTTTTTTTTGCCCTTGGGTTTCAGATTCTGACCCTAATAATGAGGGGGCTGCAACTCAAATATCCCTGTGCTATAAACCCTGTTCTTGGCACAAATCCAAAACATGGGTCTCATAAAAGGTATTATAAAGAAATTTAACTTAATTACAGGCCAAACTAGTATGTCTCAGGTTAGAAATAAGGCTGTGCATTCTATTCCTCTGCAAATATGGGCACAGCTCCATGGGGAAGGCTGTTCCGACTCTCGAGGATTGGCAGAGACATTCTTCAAGATGAACTGCCTTGGGTCTTTTTGTTACAACAAAACAAGCTACTGAGGGATGCCTGGCTAAAGTTGTGAAGACTACAAAGGAGATTGCAATGCAGGGAAATGACCTTGAGCAATATGTCTTTTCCAGAGGTGTTGAGTGTATGTTGCTAAGATGCCCTGGGCAAGAGGACTTAAATATCCTCTAGAAGTGGTATGCTGGCTGGCAGGGTGGCTAGAGAAGTTTCTAGTCACTTCAGGAACTATTGCATCTGTTACCAACTGACTTCTGAATATTGGATTGTGAAGGCAGTGGACTTGGACAGGGGAGCTCTTTTTAAAGGGGGATCCTTCAAGGGATTATGGCTGCCTTGAGAATTCAGTGGGATCTCCACACCCCCTGGCACCCTGAGAATTCCTTAACTGAATTCTCACCCTGAGAACCCTGAGGTTAAGTAGAAAGGATGAATGGACAAATAAAGAAACACCCCTTGAAGCTGGTGACAGAAAGTAAGATGTCATGGGCACAGCTTTTGCCATTTGCTTTGGCAAGAGTAAAAGCCAAACCCGAGGGAATATTCAATTATTCCCTTGTGAATTCTTTGGGATTCTTACCCTGTCAGGGTAAGACACAGGATTCTTGCCTGGCAGAGAGGTAAAGATGTATATTTAAACCAGTATGTGGCCAGGATACTGTGTGTCATGAAATCTCTTGAACAAGAAGCATAGTTAAAATGAACAGGGCTTATGCCTTTATTAACATTCAGCTCTTTATTAAAAGGATCAGCTGGGCAGGGAGCTCCACATGGAGCTCTTCCCTGCACAA